CAGTCGCCACTCTCACTACTTTACTGTAGAGTGCCACTAGGACCACTTGTCATCGTCCTTTCCATAATGCTAATTACACATTTTCCGCCATTTAGTTCTTAGTCGTCAGCTATCATACTTAGCGATTGTATCCAATTTGGACTATTCCATGCAGTATTTATGTTTGCTGCGACCGTGAAGTGACGTTCACTAACAACCACCGATGGCATTACTCAATAAATCACCGAAAAAGATACCTTCGAAAGGATCGTCTCTCCCATACTGATCGTTCCTTGCACTGTGGTCGTGCCTAATTTCTTCTCCGAACTAATCAAACCGTTCTCAAGCACTGTCGCCACTGATGAATCGTTCAGTGTGAACGCCAGTGGTGGTAGTGGCTGCGGGCCTCCGATCACTTCCAACTGCATAACATCACATCAATTATTCGCAATCCTTGCATAAATCTCTCCATATACAAAATGACAATAAAGCAACGAATTTCTTCGACACCCTTCAAATCTTCTAACAATCTGCACGATAACATGCAACTTCGATAAAACCACAACCAAAATTCAAAAGTGCTCATAAAAATAATGCTACTCAGAGTGATCACCTGGAATTGCGATTCTGGCACGAGTGTTATCATTTCAGGTAATAAACGCAACGGTGCAAACACCTGCATTTCATGCTCTACACTGCGCAGTTCATGTTGTGATGCTGATCTCACAGTGGCGCTCAACGTCACTGTACCAATGGTAACACCACGAATACGATAGTTCAATGCGTCTTCTCTGTAAATCAACATAAATACATCTATCTCTTCACTCCTTGCTTACACTCATCAACATGACTACAATTACATCAATTCAGGCTACTCCCTGCGCTAAACGAAAAATTCACGAAACTGGTTCAATTGAGAAATTCAGTCACAAATTTTTGCAAAATGTTGAATCTAATCAAGCAATATTTCACGATTTCAATACCTTATAACTGAAATCAAATCCGATGCTTGCGAGCTCATTTCAAGACTGATTTGCATTGTCGTTACATCGTCTACGCTGAACACTGTACCGTTAGCATCTCGTATATACAATCGCAATGGGATCTCCTCGTTTAAAGCTACCTGAAACGTTCAAAATAATACCCTCAACTCACAATTCATCAACATATTATATGTCATTAAATAATAATAATATGTTCGAATAAACGTCATCGAACAAACCCAATTTCCATACTCCAAACGAAAAAAAA